TAAGTACTGTGTCACATGGGTTCAACACAGCCTGGCGGCCTTTTTGCATACGTGTGTCTGTGTGCGTGCATGTGTGTGTTCTGTATTTTACAGTAATGTGTGTGTGTGGAAGTGGCTTCAGTAGACACAGTTCAGTGTGATGTACATTACATTTCACCGCTCCCTGTGAAAATGTTTTGTGTTCTCACCTCTGTGTAGGGGTCAAAGGTAAACTTCAGCTTCAAAATGATGCCCTGAAGCTGTTATTGTGGTTTTAGCCGCTTATTAATTAATTGGTCTCTGCCTCTTGTGCTCCTTATTTTTTTGTTTACAGTGGTGCTTTGCTGTGGCATAAACTCTATGAACTATTTATGTTTCATAATCAGCTTTTTATTAGCACGGTTCAAGCGTAACACACTTGAGTTTTTAACAGCCCAGGGCTCAGATGTTTTTAAAATGTTAGACTAGGTAAGAGTCAGTCTGTACTTGAAGTCTGGATTAGTTTTTCACTGTAAATAATCCAGATCAGAATCTTGTCTTCCTTTCATTTAATGATATTTATCCCCGTCTGTCAGGGATGCTCAACATGCTTTTACTGAGAACAGTTTAACATTCATCCTACAGCTTCCCTGTGCCTTACTTTCCTGTAACCCTAGTTTTATAGGGTTAGGCTAGTTTCACTAACCATCCATCTTTAGCTGTCAGTGGTGCCACAGGGTTTGTTTGCTTTTTGGGGACTGAAGAAAAGTTTCAGTGGTTATAGGTCGGGAGGTAGAGTACGTCATCTGTTGATCACAAGGTTGGTGGCTCCATCCCTGGCTTCTCTAGTCTGCGTGCCAAAGTATCCTAGTGCAAGATACTGAAGTCCAAGTTCTTGCATCCGTCAGAGTGTGAATATGCGTGAATAGAAAAAAGTGCTTCCATGAATGTGTGTGAATGGCTAATTGAGACATGTTGTGTAAAGTGCTTTGAGTGCTCACGCTGAGTAGAAACGTGATGTATAAGAACCAGTCAATTTATCATTTGCCCTTCCTTTGGTCTTTCTGTGAGGAGTTTGCATGTTCTCCCCGTGTTTGTGTGGGTTTTGCCCGGGTACTCCGGCTTCCTCCCACAGTCCAGAGACATGCAGTTTGTGGGGATAGGTTAATTGAAAAATCTAAATTGCCCATAGGTGTGAATGCGTGAGTGAATGTGAGCGCAAATGGTTGTCTGTCCCTGTGTGTTGGCCCTGTGACAGACTGGCGACCTGTCCAGGGTGTACCCTGCCTCTCGCCCTATGACAGCTGGGATAGGCTCCTGCACCCCCCGCGACCCTGAAAAGGATAAGCGGAATGGATGGATTTATTGAAACGTAGATGGAAATACAGGTAACAAGGCACAAGCAGAGTTTGTAGATTTCTATTCAGTTTGAAAGTCATTATTAATAAGTCAATAATACCTTTGTTCTTCAACACAGCCCAGACTCTCTTAGGCAGCTTTCTTGTAACTTTAAGTAGTCTTCTCCAGGTTTCTTAATGGACAGTGAAACCTTTTCTTTGGATGTTAGCAACGTTTAGATCAGTGGTTCTCAAACTTTTCACAATGAGTACCACCTCATAAAATATGGTTCTTGAAGTACCACACTTATGACCAACCCAACTCCCCGTTGCTGGCCGCGAAGGATTACCGCCCACTCGCAGAAGTAGCAGATCGGATTCTCCTGGCTACCAGGAGTTTTGGCATCCAGGTGATAGTTCCCGATTTACTGATGGCATCTCCCGCACCCCCACCGATTCTCCTGGGGGCCTCTGACTCATCGATGGTGGCTAGGATCTCGGCACGGTGACACTGTGGAAAAGGGCTGCGTTTTTACCATCAACTTAACAGCGCCGTGCTGCCTTTGCAGTTTCAAGGCCCAGGGAAACGAGCCCGCAAGCACTCCGTAGTGGCCACGACAGCTGGCGATAAGCAAAGGCTGCTCTTCATAGAGGACTCAAAGCTCTTGTGTAGTCTTTGCATACCTCCACAATGGTATATTATTTAATCTTTAAAAAATTGGAGACTTCCTGCACAGAGAGAGTTCAAGTACCACTAGTGGTACACCTACCACAGTTTGAAAATTACTGCTTTAGATGATCCCAAACAGCTTCAGTAATGTTGAGGTCCTGGCTCTGGGGAGTATAATGTTTCACAGTGTTTTTCTTTCCAGTTATGTTTCTTTAATGCACTGGCAGTGTGTTTGGCATCTAATCAGATAGTTTCAGCTTGGTATTACAGGATGGGTCACAATCTGTTGATGTTTTTGTGACAGGCTGCTAATAATAAAATGCCTAAAGATACAATTTAAAATTAGTTTCCTGTGAAGTTAACTGTTATGTGGTTCATCTCTTGAGTTAGGTGCCCTTTTTTATCCTTGAATGATTAATAGTTATATAATAAGTCATAAAATTATTCCTGGTCAGGTACAAGGAAAGGACTGAAAGTGAGTGAAAAAAAGGCAGCCAATGCCGAAAGGCTTGAGCACTGTTGCTTGAGACCGAGTCCTTGGAAGCAAATACAAAACAGTAAGGAGTGTCTTAATTTGACAGCCAACCTGGAAAATTCTATATAATACTTACCTGGAGAGTAAGAGAGTAATACCTCAATCTGCTGACCTGACCCCACCTTCATCACCATTGATGTTACTGTTGTTTTACTGTTTTATTGTTAATAGATGCTCCAGCAGGGTTTTCCAGAGGGGTGTTTGTTTGTCATCTGTTTGCTATAATTAGGGATGTTGATAGAAAACTATTTTCTGGCATTGTTCCTCTCAGGTATGATAAATGGACACAGGCCAATGCATATTAGAAAGACCTGATGACTTACCCTAAGTCACTGAGTCATCATTCTTAAATTGGACTCTTAAAATAGTTTTAAAACAGCATGGAAACAGAGTGCTACCAA